GTGAGCAGCAGCATATGGCGCCGAGCCAAGATGCTGGAGATTTGCGACGGAAATTTTATCAGGAATTGCTCGGCAATAATAGTAGTGAAAAGAGTTTATAGAAACATTAAGAATTTGGTAAGTAAAATCTAGATTTCGTACTAATATTATTTAGCTATATTTTATTGAAACATCAATGCCTGTGCACATCATGCCAGCTTCGTACAACTCCAAGTTGTTAATGCAGCGGACTGGTGGGCGTTGTAGGATATGTTTACTACGGCACTTCTAAAATATCTTAACATATATTTACGATATATTAAAGAATGCATGCCAAAAACCATTAAAAAGTGCTCTAACCCTAACACCCTTAGCCCTAACCTTAACCCTAACCTTATTACTCTACCTAATTAAAGCTGTGTGTGCGTGTGTGCGTGCGCGCGTGTGTGTCTGTGTATCAGTATGTGTGGTCTGTGTATCTGTGTGCTTGTACGGGCGTACGTGTCTGCGCGTGCCTGTACGTGTGTACGTGTGTGTGCGCGTGCGTTTGTGTTTGCGCGTTGCGTGTGTGTGCGTATCCTAACCGTTACATAACTTTCTATCGTTCGTGTTAGCAAGTATCTAAACGCTGATAACGAAATAACGTTATATAAATACCGACATGAGTAGATTCTTATAAACAAATAGGCCTATGTATTATATAATATTTATTATTACAACAATATGCTATTATATACATGTATTATATCTACTATTTATTTATTTATTTATTTATTCATTTACATGCTTAGAATATCACTATTTTTATGACATACTAACGAGCCAATTTTGGCAGTCCCTGTGACTGGCAATATGGCGGCTAAGCTGCCTACTGTATTTACTCGTGTATAAGAACACGCCATATTTTGCCTTGAAAAGTTGGTACGAATCTTTTATAATAGAAATTTACATGGAAGATGAGGCTGGATATAGAGCGGCTGGTTGCGATAACGATGACAATTCTTACATAAGATCTGTTAGCCTTGTGTATGAGTCGCACCCCTGATTTTTTTTTATTGAAGTTGTGTACAAACAAGTAGTTATACACGAGTAAATACGGTAATTGTGCTTGGATGGAATAGCCAATGAATGCGCTTTCCAGTTATTACATCATAGACTAAGAACATCAAGACACGACAAGAGGGATACAATCAACCGTTACCGGGTATGCAATACCTCTTGGCGTTCGGTTGCGCTCTCCTGCTGTAACTGTTACAGCGGGGGACACACTATGTGAATTTCGCTGCAATCAGATCCGCAGCGAAATTCTCAGCGAAAATATTCGCAAACGCATCGATTAAAATTGAACGGACACACTACAACGTACGCGATTTACTGTCGCCGACATGTCACTGGTTTTGAGAACCCCTAATCCCATGTGTTCGCTACTACTGGAACGTGGTAATGAGCAGCCTCAAAATTAATTCTATAGCATCCTGCATTTTCAAATATCCTTAAAAACGTACAGTTGGTATTTGCGTTAATATCGTCAATGTTGATTGCTGTTTATTGGCGGTTTTTAGTATGACTTTTGAAGCAGTATGTTTAGAAAACAAAAAAATACCTGTTAAATTAAGCTGTGAGCTTAATTCACGAAGCGCAATTTTGCGACTGGTCCTGTCCCTATAAGAGGGTAACGTGGTATTAAATAAACAGGGCTGCATCGCCAAATAAAGTACTAAATCTTCTTCTTTTTCCCTCGTCCATGTCGTTTCCATCGCCGCCATTTTTCAATCATGTGATTAGCATACTGATCAATGATTCGCTGCATTATAACATCGGCCGGCGCAATTTTCTCTTCTACGGACACACGATGCGAATCTGTACGCAGCGGTAAAAATACGCAGCGAAAATATCAAACACTATAGTTTCCCTCCGTTGCCCGGGATAATAAAGCGCTCAGTTGGTGACCACTTGATTGAAAGAAAATTACCAAAAAATCTATCTATCTATCTATCTATCTATCTATCTATCTATCTATCTATCTATCTATCTATCTATCTATTGCGTTTCAATAAAATATAATGCTAAATAAATACGAAATCTATTTACTACCAAATTCTTAATGTTTCTATACTCTCTTTCACCTATTATTGCCGACAATTTCCTGTAAATTCCGTCCAAATCCTCACACGTTGGCGGCGGCCATTGCTCACGCGGCTGCACAGTGCACACTGACACTTATAACGTGTGAGGATTTGGACGAAATTTACAGGAAATTGTCGGCAATAATAGGTGAAAGAGAGTATAGAAACATTAAGAATTTGGTAGTAAATCGATTTCGTATTTATTTAGCATTAGGCTATATTTTATTGAAACGCTTCAAGTGCCTGGGTGCATGCAGTTTGGGAGAATGCATGGTCGTGATAACGATGTTCTATGTGCCTTATAGGGTCTGGTGATGCATACCGACTGAAGGAGCTAGTAGTAAAGAGAGTGAGTGGAAGAGCAAGAGCATCACAGTCACAGAAAGACCTCGAATCACCGCGTTCAGATGGTTGTTAGACAGGCAGAGATGGACAGGCGGACGGGAAGATGTATAGGCTTAAACACACAGTGAGGCAGACACACGGACAGACGTAAAGTTATAGGCAGTTAGACAGACGTAAGTTAGGCAGTTAGATAGACAGATGGACATACGGCCAGACTTAGAGGTTAAGGCTAGAGGTGTGTGGTGTGCGTGTTTGTTTGTTTGTTTGTTTGTGTGGGTATGTGTGTGCGTATGTGAGTGTGTTTGTTTGCCTGTTTGTTGTGTGTGTGTGCGCTTGTTTGTTTGTTTGTTTGTGTATGTTCGTGCGTATATATGTGTGCGCGCATGTGTGTGTGTGTGTGTGTGTGTGTGTGTGTGTGTGTGTGTGTGTTTCTTTTATCATGTACATATACCCCGTACGGACTACGAATTTGATATGGTATTAAACTAACGCGCGCCAGACCCGCGCCAAATATTTGCAGTGTGTACACGCTATCCCGCTCCAAATACGCGCTGGCCCGCTCCAAGTTGGCCCCGCAAATGAAGCAGGGCCAGGCCCGGGCTAAGATAGCCCGCTTGTGTGTGTGTCTGTACGCAACGAGCGGGCCAGACCGGGTGCTAAATCGCAATACGCATGCCCATAGCCTTATTTAGGTCATGTAATTGTACGCTCGCTGTACCTCGCTGTGTGCGGGTTGACGCGGCGAGCTGAGCTGAGACGATAAAAGCAGGATCAAATATGCAGTCTGTAGGCCTACGCTACAATTTAGCTTGCGTCAGACCCGGGCCTGACGCGCGCTAGTTTAATACCATATCAAATTTTGCAGTCTGTACGGGGTATTTGTTTGTTTGTTTGTTTGTGTATGTGTGTGTGTGTGTGTGTGTGTGTGTGTGTGTGTGTGTGTGTGTGTGTGTGTGTGTGTGTGTGTGTGTGTGTGTGTGTGTGTNGAAAAAGTAATTGCTGGTATGAGTGTCAAATCAATTTTTTTATGCTATAACTTGCCATAAATATGATGTTTTGAATGTGTGCGGTAATCAGGATATTTTCGCTGTTATATTTCGTTTTTCTGAGCAAAATTCTCGCAATGATCGTTTTAAGAGGGTAACTTGGTATTAAATAAACAGGGCTGCATCGCCCAATAAAGTACTAAATCGTCTTGTTATTCCTTCGTCCACGTTTCCATCGCCACCATTTTTCATTCATGTGATTAGCATACTGATCAATGATTCGCTGCATTATAACATCAACCGGCTCGATTTTCACTTCCATAGACACACGATGCGAATCTGTACGCGGCGATAAAAGTTCGCGGCAAAAAATATCAAACAGGTTTGATAGGTGCGAATTTTAGTGCGGATGGGATTTGCGGCGAAATTTGCCATCGCTTGAGCGGACACACTAGACGCTAATTGCTGCGGTCGTGCGAATAAATCTGCATAGTGTGTCCCCCGCTTAACCGCATATTCATAACATATTTTGCATAATATGTATATATTTTAAAATATTTGGCAGTGCAATGTTGTAGAACAGCAGGCTCACTTTGTATATTGTATTAGTAAAAATGGCACTTAATCAGTTTTGACTATATAATACGTTATATAAAATAATTTTATTTTAGTTTCAATAGAAATGTTGCTTATCTACACTGTTGAATATACTTGTAGATATTTAGTTTATTATTATAACCAATTATACGGAAGCTATGTAAGGCAATTTCTTTGTATAGCAAATAAAGACACCTTTGTTGCTATGAATATTGCTTTCTAGACTTTATTTTATAATAAATACTGAGACACTCATTTTGGTTAAATTAATGATTGTTGAGGTTATTTAAAAGCAGGTGGTGCAGCTTTCACGGTTGGCCTAACTTTATAGATACAATTATTTTCTCTGCATTTCATCTGCTGTCTAAATACTATCAAGAGTAGATAATATATATAATAGATGTTATTATCTACTCTTGATACTATTGGAATACTTTATGTAAACATAGTGTAAACACATTTCTCTTGGTAATGACCTGATCAACCTTTCTTACTTCCATCATCCCAATCATTTACTTTTCTTATTTCGTGTGACGTACATGCTTATAAATTGGAGCTTGACGGTGAATTGCTGCGCATGAAGGACTGTAACTGCTTTGCTTACTCGTTTCTCATTTCCGATCTCTTTCTAGTTTGCATTCTGCATGCGCTCCTGTCTGAGCGCCTTCTAGCGAGACATGGACGAAGTACCGCTAATGTCCCCGGCGTCTGCCGGTAACGGCGATTGTGAGGGATTTGAAGTTGAAGATGCTGATGTGCTGTTACCGCGGCAATGGGGTCACGAAGCAACGACCTCTGACAAACTGCACTATTACCTGTGCACTTTCTGGGCAAACATTTTCTGTCGGTGAGCTAGGAGCGGCTGTGCATGTGGCTATATGCTTTCTTATACATTACAAGCACAGAGAATTTGCACGTTGGCATCGTGGTTACTACATTGATAACTATTGAAGAGTGGTATTTAGCCAATGATGGCACTTATGTCATTGCATGGGTTCGAAGAGCATCATATCTGTAATGCGTATTAGCCAAGTTCACTATGTCCAGATATTAAATTTCGTGAACTTTTTGGGGGGATTTGCGAACCTATACATTTTTGGAATCTGTATAGTATAGGCAATCAGAAAACCAATGTTTACAATTTACCGGAAGCATGCATGGCGGCCATCTTGGATTTTCGAAACGGCCGCCTTCAAAATGGGTGTTTCTCAATATCTCAGCATCCACGTAGCATAGAGTCATGATTTTAACGGCTAAACATACATTTTCAGGGGTGAGGAAGCCAGTGGTACAAAGTAAAATAAGCTAAACATAACCACAAAGCGGCCATTTTGGATTTTCAAAATGGCTGCCTATTTTTTAACAATTTTTTTTAACAAATGCACAAAGGCTGAATCCGTGAAACATGCCAACATCACCCTCTTTCAAGCCTTGACCAATGCTGAAGTGCTGAAAACATTCCAGGACTGGGAGGCCCAGAGATCCAAGAATGCCATGTTCAAATCAATGATGAACTATCTACACCGAGTGGAGACAATCTTGTTCTTCGTAGCGGCATCCCGAAACGCTGACCTGGTGCTCCATCTCGAAGCTGGAGAAGCACTGGGCAAGATGTCTTTTGCTATGGACCGGATCAAGTACAAGCGACTCTGGCCTCGGTACATCGCAGACATGTATGACCTGAGAACAGACCACCCCAATACCTGGAGGGAACTGGAAGCTGGAAACATATCCGTCACCAAGAACGAGATCCTGTTTGTATCCATTGGTGCAGACCACGCATGCGAACATCTGAACAAGCTGATAAAGGTTCACTCTGGACTGATTGGCATCTCCAACAACGCCAACGCTAGACAGAGGTTCTTCATGGCTGCACTAGAACTGTCATGCCTGTCGAGCGAGTTCAAGAGTCAGTTTGATGTGGAAGCTGGCAAGGTCACAGAGCACCATGACCTTAGACCAAGTGCAGTCAAGAGGGAGCATGACGCAATCGACAAGATCAAGGCTGCGATCCTGAGTCATGGCAATCCATTTGCCACTGAAGGTGACCAGCTGCACAATCTGATCACCTATGCCTACATCCCAGACGAGTATGTGCCACAGATCCTGAACATTGATGTCACTGGGCAGAAGTTGTATGAAGAGTACGTGTCAGAGCGAATCAATGGGGACGTCAGCCTCTGGGCACCAGTGTAGAAACACAACAACAAGATGTTCATGTCTGGCAACAAGAAAACCAGTGTGAAACTCGGAGACAAGACTGTAGATCTGAAGGAGACCAAGGATCTGTACGGAAGGCTGATGGTCCTTGCCAGGTCAAACCGAGACATCGACCAGAAACAAGCCATCGGCAACTATGAGTTCACGTTGACACCGAGGGCACTGTTTGCGGCAAACGGGGCAATGCTGCCATGTATGATGTATTGATAAGGCAAAGTTGATCCACCTCCTTGAGAAGCTGGGAACAGCAGAACCACCCGATGAAGATCAGCAGCAGCAGCTGCATGGTGCAAGTGTTCTGCAGCGCGATGCAGTGGATCCAGAAACCATGGACTGCACACCCACTGAAGATCCTCATCCAAGTCGAAAAATTGCACTGGTGGACGGTATGGTGGTCGTGCAGAAGCTAACAAAGAAACCAGCCACGGTAGTGACAGTCAAAGACCTCAGTGAATGCTTCAATACCAGACTGATGTCTCTCACAAGAGACTGTGATGAGATCATGCTGGTGTTTGACACATACAAGGCTGACTCCCTGAAGAGTACCACAAGGGAAGGATCCGATCCAATATCAGATCAGAGATGAGACCAGCATCAAGCACATCCCAATGAGCCGGTTCCTTTCCCACGTCAAAACGAAGGCTGATCTGACTGAGTATCTGGCAGCAAAAACCCTGGAGTACAACCAAGACTTGTCAAAGCTGGTTATCGCATCTGCCGCAGGACGTACTAGGAGCAATAGCGAGCTGCTAATCGAGGACAACAATCACGAAGAAGCGGACACACTGCTGATCTACCATGCAGTGCTGGCATCACAGAGGAACCCACCTGATGCAGAGTTGGTGGTCTTCTCCCCAGACACTGATGTTCTGGTGCTGGTCATAGCACATTATGACCTGCTGAGAAACACGTCCATGTCGATGGCTTCCGGAGTGGTCCAAGTGCAGCCAATATGGACAGATCTAGGTCCAGAAAGAGCAAAGGCTTTGCCAGCCTTCCACGCATTCACGGGGGCAGACAACACTGGGAGGTTCTCTCGCATAGGCAAGGCAACCTGGCTGCAAGTCTACCTCAAAGCAGGCGGAGAAGTCATCAATGCTCTGCAGATGCTTTCAGATGCCGCTGAAGTCACTGAAGAGCTGCTGTCAACGCTGGCTACATTCGTCTGTGCTGCATACGCACCAAAGGGCATCCAGATTGCGAGCATCCCTGAGCTGCAATGGCATCTTTTCTGCAAGCATATGGCTGAAAGTGACAAGCTGCCTCCCACCCTTGGTGCTCTCAAGCAGCACATCCACAGTGTCCAGATCCAGGCCACAGTATGGGGTCAGGCAAGCATTGTTCAGCAGCAGTTCCTGGATCCACTGCAGCATGGCTTTTACAAGGACACAGCAGCTGATCAGGTGAAACCAATCACAACTGAGGTCCTCACAGCCCCAAGGCCATCATTGAGATGGTGAGATGCCAGTGCAGAGCAGACTGTTTAACATCTCGATGCTCTTGCAGGTCCAATAACTTATCATGCACAGACCTCTGCCAGTGCAGCACTCAGTGCCAGAATGATGAGGACTCTAGGAATGACATGTTGCCGACCAGTGACAGTGATGATGATGATGTGTAAAGATTCTGCTATATATTAAAGATTATGCTATATCACACTTATTTTGTCATGATATCATGATATTGAAGTTTAGTTGTGCAAGAAGCTGCCTAGACATGCTAGAGGTTTGAATTGCTACATGTATGTAGAAGTTCTGAGCCATTTAGAACATTTATTATAATAAAATCAATATGATAATCTGCTTTGTGGTTATGTTTAGCTTATTTTACTTTGTACCACTGGCTTCCTCACCCCTGAAAATGTATGTTTAGCCGTTAAAATCATTACTCTAGGCTACCTGGATGCTGAGATATTGAGAAACACCCATTTTGAAGGTGGCCATTTTGAAAATCCAAGATTGCCGCCATGCATGCTTCCGGCAAATTGTAAACATTGGTTTTCTGATTGCCTATACAATACAGATTCCGAAAATATATAGGTTTCCAAATCCTCCCAAAAAGTTAACGAAATTACACAATGAACTTGACTATATATTGTCGGGTTTTTTTTATCAAAAAGTGTGATTTGGCAATTTAATAGAAATCGGGTCATTAAATATTTATGAAAGTAGATCATAAATGAATACATCAATACATAATCTAAACATCTTGGTTTTATATAATTCCGATGTTTTATAAATACGTTGATTATTACTTCATTTTCCTAGACTTCCTTTTCCTCACAGGCCTTTATCTTTCCTTTTATTTCAAGTTAATGTATCTAGTTAGTGTATGTACAAGTTAGTGTAAGTTGGTGCACTCATGTAAATGTTGATAACACGTTTTCATTCTGTTTTCTATGCACAAATCAAGAACTACATGTTTGAATATGTTATGTAGAAATGTTAGTGCCCTCTATGATTTTGACTCTTGTGACTTTAGCATTCTGGCTCAGCAGTAGGATTACTGGCATTGACACTGGGGTATATTACAATATACTGCATTCCCAACTCCACACATTGTGTTTTTATGTCATATGTGCATGGGTATTTATACACGAGCATAATAAATATGCTTGTGTGTAAGTGAGAGATTATTTTCGTGGTAGCATGCTGGTGGTTGTTACCTCATTTTAAATTTGCTCGCAGAAGTGGATAAGTTCGTTTGCAAATGTGTGATCAGATAAGCAGGTGTCATTTGTACAATTTTAAGGTTATTAGAAGGTCATTATACTATAGTGCAATCATTTCTATTGCTGCTGTGCTGGGAGCTTCACTGTGTTAAACCATATTACTGCATGCATTTTCCCCAGGTGCTGCGATTGGATATCGCGGTCATGCAGGCGAAACAAGGAGTATCGTAGTCGCATGCTACATATCGGTGAGGCACCATCGGGCAAGTTTCCGTCCAATGTTATACGCAACCAGAAGTACAACATCCTCACCTTCATTCCTTTGGTAAGATTCACAATGATAACATTCTTAAGAAAACAACCAGCTAAACTATTTTCATAAAAGTGCATGCGTGGGAGATATATAGTCTAGATGTATTGATGTGATGTTGGGAACTAAAAAATGAATTTTGCTGTTCACACGTCTTATATGATATACATCACCATCACAATGTTTCATCTATCTGCCAACGAATAAAACACAGTAGGATTGATTTGTTATTGGTGTTTGTCTGTTTGTAGGTTCTGTTTGAGCAGTTCAAGTTCTTCCTGAATCTTTACTTCCTGATTGTTGCCATCTCTCAATTCATCCCTGATGTGCGCATTGGTTACTTGTACACCTACTGGGGCCCTCTGGTAAGTTTCAAATACGTTCTGTCTAGTATGGTGGGATTGAAGGAATATGCGTAAAAAAAGTTGTTGATTCTGTTGGTGATCGCAGGAATATATTTAAAAAGCATGATTTGTTTCATACTGATGCTTTATAAACATAAAAATTCATGTTTCTGTTGTAATTTTGGGAAGTTTTAGTGTTATTTGGAGAGTTTCTCCTTTACACAATCACCCATAGATTAGCAAACCATGAATTCTACAGTGTGTCTTCACCTGAAGTTTGCATGGTCTTCATATGCATCAGCCTATATGTGGTATATGTTCTACAAAATAGTCATACTCAATAAGGACAATGTCAAGTTGTTAATACTTTCCATGAATTGTACAATCATTCAACGCAGGAATGCTAGGCTTACACATCCTCTACTTCATATCCACTAAATACTACTTGACAGGGCTTCGTTCTTGCTGTGACGATGATTCGAGAGGCTCTGGATGACTTCCGTCGCTATCGGAGAGACAAGGAAGCCAACTCACAGCTGTACAGCAAACTTACCCATGCTGGCATCCAGCGAGTACCTAGCTCTGCTATACGTGTTGGAGATCTCGTATTTGTCGAAAAGGTAGCACTGCCTGCTGCCTCTGTCTGTTGAAAACCTGCTGGGAAATGTCATTGTCTCTCACTATTGTTATATTAATAATGTTAGAAAAACATAGACCTTGCTGAGAGAATTAGTGTTGCAGACATATTTAAATGTAGTTTAGGGTATTTGGACCAAGTTTTAAGAGACTACTATAATAATAATATTTATAACACCAAATTGTTCACATAATAAAGAAAAAAATTAGGATTAGTCTCGTGATGGTTACCATGTTATCCATGGTACTATGAAGGTAGTCAATTTTGTAGTAGAATGATAGTGTAATGATAATATTATTGATAATGGTGATGCTGATAATAATAATAATCATCATTATTGTTGTTGTTAAGATTAGTTATTAATGATACTTTGACTGATGGTTCTTGTAGAACCAGCGTGTCCCGGCTGACCTGGTGTTGTTGCGTACGACTGAGAGGAGTGGCTCCTGCTTTGTTCGTACCGATCAACTAGATGGAGAGACAGACTGGAAGCTGAGGATTGCTGTCAGCTGCACACAGTTACTCGGGGGTGATGCTGTAAGCAATCAGTCATGCGTGTTTGAACGTCGCCAGGGAGATGAATGCATGGGGCTGTTAAATGTTAATTCATCTTAAATACGGAATCGTCAAGATGAAGTTATTTGCACTATACACTATATGGGTAATGGAAGCCACTACAAATTTATTGTACTGTTACAGGACTTATTCAATATGAATGCCTCAGTCTATGCAGAAAAACCACAGAAGGATATCCACAGTTTTATTGGAACAGTGCGACGGGTGAGTGAAATTCTCTTGTGAATAGTGTGATTAAGTCGAAGGAATACAAATATTTTGCTAGCATTGATTGTTTTGAACAGCCGATTCTAGCTGCCCAATATAAGGTATAATGTAAGAAAATGAATACTATCATACATACATGGAATCCTTGAGGTTGAATTCATAAACTGATTCTCAAATTTCAACTGTAATTCAATTGTTCAAATCTTGTAACTCGATTGTTTTTAGTACAGCTTTGACTGGCATGGTCGTGCTGGTCGTGGTTTGTAGGTCATAGAAATTTATTTAAATGGTAGAACTGCATTTGCAATCAGTCCAGATGTTCGTAACTCGGTAGACCGCTGATTATTATGTAACCTTGCTATAATTACAATATATCACAACAGATGATATAATGAAATATTTCTATATACGTCACATAAAAAGCCGATTTGCTTTTGAATGCAGACACCGGCCAGAATCACGGCATGTGTGGTCAGCTCGCTGTGACACTCGATGACAGACGGTGGCTTTGTCATTGCAGACAGACGACGAGGGGCTGGGGTGTGAGGCACCACTGAATATAGAGAATGCAGTGTGGGCGAGCACGGTGGTCGCATCTGGCACCGCGCTCGGCATGGTCGTCTACACCGGCTCCGAGACACGCAGCGTCATGAACACCTCACAGCCACGCTCAAAGGTAGGGGGCGCTGCCAAACACAGTCACGCAGCTATACTCAAATGTGGAGGGAGCTGCCAAACACATTTACACAGTTCTACTCTAAGGTAGGGGGTGCTGCCAGACATAGTCACGCAGCTCTATTCAAAGGTAGGGGGCGCTGCCAAACACAGTCACGCAATTCTACTCTAAGGTAGGGGGTGCTGCCAAACACAGACACGGCTCTACTGTAAGGTAGGGGTCGCTGCTAAACACAGTCATGCAGCTCTGCTCTAAGGTAGGGGGTGTTGCCAAACACAGACACGGCTCTACTGTAAGGTAGGGGTCGCTGCTAAACACAGTCATGCAGCTCTGCTCTAAGGTAGGGGGCGTTGCCAAACACAGTCACCCAGCTCTACTCAAAGCTAGGGGGCGCTGCCAATCAGTCACGCAGTTCTACTCAAAGGCAGGGGGCACTGCCAAACACAGTCACGCAGCTCTACTCAAAGGTAGTGGGCACTGACCACAGCCACACAGCCACACTCGAAGGTAAGGGGGCAATGTACACAGGCATACAGATGGGCTCAAAGGTATGGAGCAGAGAATGCAGATAAATGTTTTTCTTTACTGAAAATTTGTTGAGAAATGGTTTTGTTTTCTGTCTGTACAGGTTGGACAACTTGATCTTGAAATCAACACTCTGACAAAGGTTCTGTTCGTATCTGTGATAATTGTGTCCCTCTTCATGATTTCCATAAAGGTGAGCATCGCAGATTATTCAAAAACATGTAGTAAAGTGTGTGATGCAGTGCAGCAATGATTGACCGCTACTTGCTAGGAATCTATTTGCAGCTCTTATAATAGCATAGTTTGATAGCAGTAAAATACAGATTGTGTTTTGAAGAATGAACAGTGAAATTAGGCTGTCACTTAAGATTGATGACAGCATCTTCGCTGCTGGTTACTTACAGGGCTTCACTGGTCCCTGGTACAGATATTTGGCCCGCTTCATCCTGCTGTTCTCATACATCATTCCTTTAAGGTATTTATACGATGTTCATTCATTGTGGTTGCTTATTGTGGCGTTGTTGATGATAACTCACACCAGTGTAATGACCAGTTTAACATAGGGTTTGGTTTCTGACCTTGCTTTTCCTCGGTGACCATGAAAGAGGGATGCCGATACCGTTTTCGAACAACTAACTCTTGCTGAATTAACTACAAAACCTTAAAATAGCCTCACAATTGCGATTCATTATTGCAACATTAAGTATGTATAAGTGCATGTGATGAACATGGTTCCACATATCAAGTCATATGAGTCATACGTATGTATAATGAAGCTATCGGCTCCCCTCAGGTTCTATGCGGTTCAGTGTCATGTAAAAAATAACTTTAGGCTATCGTAGTCAATAATAATAATAACCAATATTTGTGTTGCAGGACTCGACGTTTAAACTTTAATTTTCATCAAACATTACTACATTAATAACTGCTTTACATAAAAGTGTGTGCAAACACGGCTAACACAGATGTCTACCAAATCTTTAATCTTACGAACGGATCACAGGTCTCTCTGGTTAGTCGCGCTCCCGAGCTGGATGTTGTGCTGTTTGGTGCGGTCGGACTGAATGCGATGATCGCCTTGCTAGGTTCATCGTCGCTTGAAACTTTATCTTGGGCTGCAGAAGAGGCAGTCTTGTCGTTGGAAGCTCTTCGCCGGTAGAGTGGTAGATCTCGCTGCAGTTGTGAAGCGCACGATCGGCGAAGCCTTACTCAACGTTGACTGTCTCTCTGTGTGACCGAACTGTCACCAACCTGCCGTGACTCGGGTGTGCGCTTCCTTATATAGCCGTGCGCCGACTCGCTGCACCGACCTCCATCCAGGCCCGTTTGGGGCTCAGGCCTCCATCTTTCTTTCTCCTACGTTTAGCTTTTATTGCCAACATCACCCTCCGACTTGCTTCATTTGCACGTAACGGTCGTCAAACTTCCATTATCTCAGCACTAATGACAACACTACATCGATATGCCACCATGTTCCTGCCCTCCAGAGGCACCTAGCCATGCAAGCTGTCATAATAAACCTACTTCCACTAATTGTGTACATGCCTGGCTTCACTGTGTAAAAGCTTCATAACCCTCATAACTCCTGCACATTGCTTACAATTTCACAATATACTAATAAACACATCATTAACAATTATTCAGAAACTGCCTCATTATATATGCCTGTGGTATATGTGGCATGACACGCTGCGTTGTACCGTGCTGCAACTCATCACACGTATCATGCTGTAGTGCACATCACAATACTAAACGTGATGAATCTCTGACCATGCATTCTCTCACCCTCAGCTTACGCGTGAACCTGGACATGGGCAAGGCGACGTACTCGTGGATGATCCAGCGGGACAAAGAGCTACCAGGTGCAGTCGTGCGCAGCACCACCATACCAGAGGAGCTCGGTCGCATCGTCTACCTGCTCAGTGATAAGACGGGCACGCTGACGCAGAACGAGATGGTGAGCACAGCCGTGAGTGTGACACACACTGCACACGCCGCCATTTTACCTGTTAACATGGTCTCATCTTCGTGAGAATATCACTGTAGATGCATTCTACAGTTTTTCATTGGGTTTTTTACTTATTAGTTTAATATGTCTAACAAAATAACTTGCTCGTTTCACTGTTAACTGTATTCATGTGTTTTAGTGATTATTTGATTTTGTTTGCAGGTTTTTAAGCGAGTGCATCTTGGTACAGTATCGTTTGGCGCTGACACCATGGATGAGGTACAAGTTATCAGTACACCAGTACATGCCCTGGGTTATTTAATTATATACAACCTACCAAACAATTGTTGTCTATTTGAAAATTGCTTGTATATTGTGGTGGGCCTGGTGATTTCGTGTTGTTACTAATCCTGACCTAGTGTTTTTATTGTTAGATGGCAAAAAAACATGTTCATGTTTATTTGAGGTACATCGTTGAATCATTCACGTATGGATAAGTTAGGTTACGGCAAGCTAAATCAAAGTTATGCTGCTATTTCAAGTTTGAAAATAAAAAAAACTGAACCCAGAGTTAAATGAGTACATTTTTAAAAAGGAGGGTTTAGCCGGGAGTTTAGGATATTTAGCCGATGTGATTACGTAAGTCGTGTAATAAAACTGCCTTCTCTACGTGTCCTTATTAGGTGCTGACACACGTTAGGTCTGTGTATATGCCGGCAGCATCAGGCAGCTCCAGCAGCACCCCAACACGTGCCACTGTGATGGCCATGCCCCGGGTGAGTGACGCGCGTGCGCATATACGTGTTCTGGATGCTGCGAGCTTCAACCACCACTCCATCTGCTCTTCATTCTTGCTCCCACGTGAAGGTTTAATGTGCACTCATGTACGCGGCTGGCTTTGATGCCCATTAGCTCGCTGTTATTGCGCAATCCTATCATGTCGATTCGTGCGTGCCCAGGTGAGCTAAACCGGGTATTGTCGTTGTGCAGGTGAGCTAAACCGTGTCGCTGTGCTGGTCAGCTAAGTAATGCTCTGCTAACGAGCAGGTGAAACCACACATCGACTCACAGTGTGGGGGCGTATCTAATGATTCGTTGACATTGTGCAGGTGCGACGCACGGTGGTGACGCGGGTTCATGAAGCTGTCAAGGCGATCGCACTGTGCCACAACGTGACGCCCGTCTTTGAGGCTGACAACGTCGAGCACTCCGACACGGAGGCAGACCAGCAGATCGGCGCAACGTGCACATACCAGGCATCGAGCCCGGACGAGGTGCGAGATTGTCATGAACGACGACATACTGTACACGCTGTATATTTCGTGGTGGTTTATTTTTCGCGAATTTCGCGAACACGTCCCTGACAGCGAAAATAACAACACGCGAAAAGTAACAACACGCTGTTCTTCACTGATTCGGGAATTCACAGACCTCGAAGTTAACCACTCGCGAAATTGTCCGTCAAGTCTGAATTCGCTAAAATATCTGTACGCGAAAAATATGGCGTATACAGTAGTCGTGAACAACAGACTCGCGCATCCCTTCTGCTTTCTGCCTTCATCACATGTCTACTTTTCTTCGCCTGCTTTCTGCCTTTATCACATTATCATCATCATCATCATCATCATCATCATCATCATCATCATCATCATCATCATCAGTTTAATGTCCGTTTTCCCTTTCGGGGTTGGACAGTTTTATTCCACGATGCCATTCATCTCTACTCTGACACATCTCTCTCCCGAGTCCTGCTGCTACCAGATCTTTTTCAACTGTCCTTAGCGATGTCATCCTGGGGCGGCCCTTTGGCCTGATGTCATCATTCCCCACTTTCTCCACACTCCGCAATAAGTTTTCTGGTTCCCTTGGTTCCACAGGCCCAAACCATTTCAGCCGATTTCTCCTTAGTACATATTCCAGTTTCTCCAAACCAACCCTTCCCAGAATTTCATCATTCGAGACACGATCTTCCCACTTCACCCTACACGTCCAAGTCCAAACGCAGCATCTTCGTATCTGCTCTTTCAAGAATGGCTAAATTTGTCGTCATGGCCCACGTTTCTGATCTGTAGCAAAGTACTGGTCTCAGACATGCCTGGTACACTTTACCATGTGCTTTTTGCGGCACATTCTTGTTCATCAGCATACTCGCCAGCAGTTTCCACCTGCCCCACATAGCTCTCACATGTGTTCTTATAGCACATTCCACATCCCCTTCTGCATTCAGCATGTC